TTTCTCCTCTTTTGTTGTCTTTTTCGAGGCTAATCTCAAACTGGCTATTTAGATGAGGGTGTCCTTGAAGCTTTGATCTTCTTGCCCCTGTCATCCAGAACTGAGATTACAGGCATTATACTCAGCCATGAATGTAGTATCATGACACACTATATAGGCATCATCTAAAATGTTCCCATACACGGTGTGTGTGTGTGGGGGGATTGGTTAGGACTGCACTCAGATTCTCACTCTCAGTGTATCTCATGTTGTTGGTGACATATTGTTATGGTAAGGTTATATTCTAATGCAGAATGTAGTGTTGGCTAGTCTCCTAGAGGGAGTCATTGTTTTTAGCTCCCAGAAAGAGAAAGTAAACGGGAAGATTTACGAAGACTACAATCTCTCAGCTTTACATACAAACATTACTGAATTTCACAGAAGTCCTTTCTGATAAATAACCCTACCCCCAGGTCTCAAGGTCCTGTTTTAGAATCATGAGAGGTGAGAAAGTGCTGGAAATGCCTCTGGCAGTAAGAGAAAAACAGTCGGAAACAGTCTCTCTCTCTCTCTCTCTCTCTCTCTCTCTCTCTCTTGGTTTTTTTTTCCACAGAGTTTCTCTGTGTAGCCAAGGCTGTCCTGGAACTAGCTCTGTAGACCAAGATAGCCTCAGAGCCTCTGCCTTATGAATGCTGGGATTAAAGGTGTGCACCACTATCACCACCCATGAGAGAGATTCCTCTCCCCCCAGTAATAGCATTCTTATAATAATATAACGGTGAAACAGGCAAAACAAAACAGCTAAATGCACAGATTTTGAAATTCTGCCTATAATCCCTTTCAATTTAGTAGAATTAAAGCTAGATCACAGTTTAAACACCAATAAATGCATGTTGGAACCTATTGCACAAAAGCATAAAAATGCTCTTTATCCTTATAAAAACATACAAACTAAAGGCTACAAAAAAATAAAAGAAACCTATAAAACATCTCACAGTTTTATCGTATATGCCTGTAAATAAAGCTGGACCACGGAAACCAAACAATTGGATGGGAAAATGTGATAGAAGACTTAAAATAGAACAAATAATTTTGTAAAGTTAAGTTTTTCTTTTTTTTTTAACTCCCCAAATTTTAAATTCAATATTATATATTCTATTTGAGTTGATCTTGTGTCAGATGGAAGCTTCTGACACCTTGTTTCATTCCTGCCAAGCTCCATTTGACATCCAAGGCCAAATTTTATTTTTCGAGCATGAACACTAGGATTGGTCCTGTCAAGGTTTCTCAGCAGGTGAGCTCCTGCAAAGTTGTCGTAGCTGCTGATGCTAGAAATCAGGTGCATCCAGCCAGCAGCTCTGGGAACAACCTCCCAGAACAAGGTCTCGCTCAACACCATTTACACAAAAATAAAGAGAGATTCTTAAAATCTGTGTGTGAGTGTGCGGTTGCATGTGTGTATTGCTAGAGACTGAACTAGAGCTCTGTGCAGAAGTTTATCACTAAACTTCATCCTTAGACGAGGATATAGGATTTTTAGAAATGAGTAACAACTTAGGATATTGTCATGCTTCCTATGCTCCCTTCTTACCCTCTTTCTCTCAAGCTCTTTAAAAAACATTTTTTAAAGTTTTAAAACTTTTTTAAAGGCGTATTTTATGGTTTTGTGTAATTGGGTGGTTTGCTGTCATATATGCATGTGCAACACGTAGGTGCTTGGTACCTGAAGAGATAAAAAGAGGGAACTGCCTCTTTTTATTCTGGAATACAACCTGCTTCTGGGTTGCCCAGCAACCTATGACGTCATCATATGTCGCCTGCCAGGTGGTCATACCTGGAAGGCATGGTTACCGTGCCCCCTTAAAAGGGCCGATCCTACTCGTGGTCTCTCTCTTACTCTCACTCTCTTACTCTTACACTCTTCTCTCTCTCTCTCTCTCTCTCTCTCTCTCTCTCTCTCTCTCGGGGCACCCCCTCCTTTCCCCATCCTCCTTCCCCTCTCTTTCCCCACCAAGCCCTGCTACCCACTTCCTCCATACCCCCCTAATAAACCTCTCACAGAGAACACTGGTTGTCCCCCTGCTTCATCTACTTTTAGTTTTTAACACTGCCAACTCTCCAGCCCCTCTTCTCAGGTTTTTTAAAAAAAAGTATCTTTTGTGATGTAGAGCATCCACTTGACATACACCAAGCTTGAGATTCTATCTTCTCTAGAACGAATATAAAGATTTTATGAAGAAAATATCTTTTCTGAAGAGAAAAATCTTTTTTCTTTTCTTCTTCATTTTTTTATTCTTTTTAAATTACCATTTATTATAATATATTCAATTTGTATCCCAGCTGTGGCCTCCTCTTTCCCTCTTCTCCCCCATACCCTTCCCCTTGTCCACTGATAGGGGAGGTCCATCCTCCCCTTCCCTCTGACCCTAGCCTATCAGGTCTCATCAGGACTGGCTGCATTGTCTTCCTCTGTGGACTGGTAAGGCTGCTCCCCCCAAGGGGAGGCAATCAAAGAGCCAGCCACTGAGTTCATGTCAGAGACAGACCCTGCTCCCCTTACTATGAACCCAACTTGGAGACTGAGTCTATGGGCTATATCTGAGCTGGGGTTTTAGGTCCTCTCCATTTATTTTCCTTGGTTGAGGTATCATTCTCTTCAGGGTCCCCAGGACTCAGTTTTTTTTTTTTTTTGTTTGTTTGTTTGTTTTGTTTTTTTTGGTTCTGTTGGTCTCCTTTTAGAGCTCCAGTCCCCTCCAGGTCTTTCTATCTAACCTTTCTTTCATAAAATTCCATGCATTCTGCCCAAAGTTTGGCTATGTGTCTCAGCCGCTGCTTGGATACCTTGCTCAGTAGAGTCTTTCAGAGGCCTCCTGTGGTAGGCTCCTGTCCTGTTCCCTGTCTTCTCCTACTTTCAATGTCTATCGCGTTTACGCTTCTGACTGATGATTGAGCATCTTCCCTAGGGTCTTCCTTGTTGTTTAGTTTCTTTAGGAGTGTAGATTTTAGTGTGTTTACCCTATATTATATGTTTAATAACCACTTATGAGTGAGTATATACTGTGTGTGTCTTTCTGCTTCTGGGTTACCTCACTCAGGAAGATCTTTTCTAGATCCCACCATTTCCCTGCAAATTTCTTGATTTCCTTGTTTTTAATTGCTGAGTAGTATTCCATTGTATAAATGTACCACACTTTCTGTATCTATTCCTCTGTTTAGGGACATCTAGGTTGTATCCAGATTCTGGCTATTATGGATAGAGCTGCTACAAACATGGTTGAGCAAATGTCCTTATTGTGTACTTGAGCATATTTTGGATATATGCCTAGGAGTGGTATAGCTGGATCTTGAGATAGCACTCTCCCTAATTTTCCAAGAAAGCACCAGATTGATTTCCAAAGTGGTTGTACAAGTTTACATTCCCACTAGCAATGGAGGAAGGTTCCCCTTTCTCCACATCCTCTTCAGTATGCATCATCCCTTGAGTTTTTTATTATAGCCATTCTGATGGGTGTGAGGTGAAATCTCAGGGTCATTTTGATTTTCATTTACTGAATGACTAAGGATATTGAGCATTTCTTTAAGTGTTTCTCAGCCATAACGGTTGAAAGCAAGAGAGCCTTGTGCTCAGGTTAGGTAGTTGATTTAAAGATTCCCATCTCTTCCAGTACTCCCAAAGCAGGGGAATTCCTGCCTGGCAAGCTTCTATTGGTTGAAACACAAAAGGGGATGATGCATTTTGAATTGATTGGCTATAGGAAAGCCCCCAAACCATTAATAGTCTGGCTTCCCTTGTTTGGCTAGAGGAAAGTGGTTGGTTTCCTAGCAACTGTATGTCTAGTGAGCAGGAAAAAAAAATGCAGTAAGGCTGGTTTTTCCCTGCAGGTGGCTTAACATGTCTCCACCTGGCTGGCCTTTGTTCAGGCTTGTGCTTTAAATTTTAAACCGATACCCAAAAAAACACTAATTTTTAATTCTTTGGTCTCTCAAGGAAAGAAACAACCCAGACAGATGAGATGTTTGTGGATTGAAGTGGCAGAGTGGAGTGTCATCATATCTGAAGATAGCATTGATAAGTCAAGTTCCTGGCCAGTAGCAGGGAAGGAGGAAGTGGGGAGTAGCATTGAGAAACTAGAGAAACAAGTCAGAGTCAAGTAGAGAAACCAATCAGTGGGATTACTCATTTCAAGTTGCATGCAAATTCATTTTTGCACAGAGATTCAGGAACATATATGTCATATAAGAGAGGCCAAGGAGACAGACAAGCCAATGAACTGAGCAGGATCAGGGGAAGATGCAAAACTGTCAGTTTTGCTTGGATTCTGATTATTCACATGGAGCTGCAACCATCCTCATATTATATCAACTGATCAGGTTTTGTTGATAAGAATTCAGCTAAGCTAGTTCAAGTTGCAGCCTCTACCTTTTGCTTTTGTCTTTGTGTTCTAGAGTGAATGTTTCCTCGGGTAATTGTTAGACAATGCATGGCTAGTTGCACCAAGATACCCTTTTGAAATATAGTTTCTTTCTGAGGCCCTTGTTCTATGGGTTTTGGTTTATTTCAATCCTGGCCAGTCAGTTTTACTGAGGTAAGTAAGGCATGGTGACAAGAATGAGTGCTATGTCCTCCCCGTGGTGGCATCAAGAAGGCAAGTTAGCTGGCTGCATTCTGTAGTGTCCTTGTTTTCTGGTGTTGTAGGGAGGAGAACCATAAGTGATGTACCCAGGGACCAGGAAAGAAAAGGGAAACTCATCTGGAAACATTCTAGAAGCCAGATACATAAAAGGAGGTGCAGGCATTGGCTTAAGCTAGTAGCCCTGGGTTTAGCAGAGGTGTTAGAGATCTGGTCTGCATGGTATTTTCATAATTAGTCCTGAGCTCTGTAGAAACATGGTATTAGTGCCTGTGCTATAGTGTAGGGTGGGGGTGGGTGGAATCTAGTGTTCTTTGTGGTTACCCAACTGCAAACCCTTCAAGACAACCTCCTTCCTCTCCCCTGACCCCCAAGCCCCAATGCTCACACCTGCATCTTTCTCTCCACAGTGTCAAAGGGAAAGGAGAGAGTGTGGCTCACAGCAGCAGCCACACAGGCAATGGCCAAGTTCTCCAGGTGACAGAAGCGCTCCCAGGGTCCATTCCAGATTTTCTCCAGGTTCATGTAAACTGGAAGGGAGCCTGCAGAGAAGGGAAAGGCACCTTGGAATCAAGCACAGGGAGAGGTGGGGCTGGAGAGATGTTTCAGCGGTTAAGAGCACTGTCTGCTATTCCAGAGGTCCTGAGTTCATTCCCAGCAACCACATGGTGGCTCACAACCATCTATACTGGGATCTGATGCCTTTTTCTGGCATGCAGGTGTACATAGAGCACTCATATACATAAAATAAATAAACCTTAAAAAAAAAAACAGAGAGACGTTTCTATCTGGAGGAACCACTGTCTGGAGCAAAGGAGTATCTATGTGGGATTCGCAAGGGGACTATGAGCAAAGGGCTCTGGAGCAGTTTAAAGCCCTCTCAGTTAACTATCAAAAGGGCATACTCTGGGCGTGGAGTGACAACACCATATGGTCAAGATGTATGAACTGGTTCACTCAAGGTTGGTGCAGTTTACAGTAAATAGATTGTACGTAAAAGAACCGTAAACTAATCTTGAGAGCTAGGTGCAGTGGCACACACTTATAATTTCAGCACTTGGGAGGCAGAAGCAGGAAGATTATTAGTAGTTCAAGTTCATCCTTACCTACATAGCAAGGTTTATAGCCAGACTGGGTCACTTGAGTACATGAGACATGAGAAAACAACCCCTAACTACATGCTGAAATTGAGTTTGTGATACAGATGTTGAAGGGTTTAGGGGTGAAGCATACTTGTGTTTGCAGCTTACATTGGAATCACCAAAGAAAAGGATTGACTTATGAATGGCTTTGAGGGATGCCTAGACATGTGATGAAGTAAAAATATGAACTGAGGTATTGTTCAGTGATTGTGTGGTTATTTATAAGTCTAAGAATTTTTCTGTGTTTGAGAGACATTGAGGGGAAAAGTCATTTCCATGGTACTGAAGAGATGGCTCATAAGTTAAGATCACCTACTATTCTTGCAGAGGATCACCTACATCACTGGGCTCACAACCACTTGTCACTCCAGCTATAGGGAATCTGACACCATCTTCTAGCTTCTAAGGGCACTGGCACTCATGTACACACACCTACACCTACAACCCCAAAACCCCCCACACTTACAAAGAAAATTAAAATCTTAAAAAAAAATCACTTCCGTAAAAGAAGTTAGTAAGCAGTGTTTTGCCCAGTTCACGAACCTCAAAAGACCAGGAATAACTAGACTCTGCTGTAAATACATGAGGTTCTTTTTATTGTAAATTACAAGCTGCAGCTTGGGCCCACACACACCCACTGCCGAAGCGGTGGGAGCCAAACCAGCATGCCCAAGGCAGGGGTGATTCCTGCCTGCCAACCATCTATTGGTCAAAATGCAACATTTTGAATCGATTGGCTATAGGACGGTTCCCAGACCATAATGACCTAGTGTCCCTCCCTAGGGGGATGGGCCAGTTTCCTAGCAACGGTATCTCTAGTGGGTGGGGAAAGAATGCAGTGAGGTGGCTCTTCCTCTCAGGGCATTACTAGACTTCTATACTACCTACTTCAAGTCTTAACAATAGCTGCTAATTTATCTTTTGGTCTTTCAGCAGCACCTGACCTAGTATTGGAGATTAGGAAGGGACTGTTCTCTAGCGAAGAAAGATGCATTCTGTGATAACTGTGGCCATGGAGGTTAGCTGACCTAACTTAGATGTCTTAAGGCCCAGTTAGCATCATACACTGTGTGTGTCCTCACCTTCCTAGTAACTAAAAGGGTGAGCAAATAATGCACTATTTGGTACTCTAACACATTTCCAGAAACTTTCAGAGCCATCTTCACTTTTCAGATGGAATAATTTGTCCCTCAAAAAGAGAGATCTGGACTAGAGAGATGGCTCTATGGTTCAAAGCACTAGCCATTCTTCCAGAGCATTCAGGTTCGATTTGCAACACCTACATACTGTAGTTCAGGACTATTTGTAATTCCAGCTTCAGAGGATCTGACACCTTTTTCTGTCTTTCAGGGTATTCCACACATGGGAAACACAGATATACATGTAGTCAAAATACACATATACATAAAAATAAAAAAAATATCAAAATACAAAAACAGATCTAATAGATGAGATAAGACTGGGTATGTAGCTCATTGCTGAGTACTTGCAAAGCTCTGGGTTCCATTCCCAGCAGTGTGACATAAAAAAAAAAAGAAATAAAATAAAGGAGGCAGAATACTAGTGGGGTATTAAAAAGACTCACCAACTTCCTGTTTTCACTCAAAAACACTTAGGGAAGCTAGGCATTGTGGCACATCCCTACAGTCCCAGCACTAGAGAGGCTGAGGCAGCACGGACAGAAGTATAGGGCCAGCCTAGCCTACACAGTGAGCTCAAGCCCAGCCTGCACTGCATTAGACTCTGGCTCTAAATAGGAATTGACGGATCTTTCGCTACCTGTTGGGCCCTATGCCAAGTGCTGAGAATACAGCTCGGAGCAAGCTAATTTCTGGAGATCTTTACCATCAGAATCAAGTGATAGCTAGGTAATACTACATATAACATCCCTAATATATGCATATAGTGAGCTATACAAGATGCTTTACATATCTGTGGTTAGTTTTGCCTAGAAGAATCAGGAAAGAATTGAAAGAAAAGAGAATTATGTCAGTATCTTTGTGTTATGTTAGTGATTGAACATACAGTCAGTCCCAACACCACTACCCCACCCCCACCACCGTTTTAACTTTTTGGCATTGGTTTTAGTAAATTGCCTAGGTTGGTTTGAACTCTGTAGCCCACATGGCCCTTGAACTTTCACTTCTTCTCCCACCTCCTGAAGCCAAGGTGGGCATTATAGACCTGCTATGTCTATAGTTGTTTGAGACAAGAAAACTATATAGCCAAGATTAGGCAGGAACTCCTGCCTTAACCTCTAGAATACTGGGATTATATTATATGCATGTAGCACCACACTTGGCTTAAGACAAAGAACTTTTAAATCTATTTTTAAATTTATTTATTTATTCACTTTACATTCCTATTGTAGCCCCTCCCTCCTTCCCTCCCCATCTCGCCCTCCCTCCCTCTTTCCCCATCCTTCCACTCCTAGTCCTAAGAAAAGGGGATCCCCCTACCAACCCACCCCAGCACATCAAGTTGCACCAGGGCTGAAAGCATCCTTTTCCCCTTTGGCCTGGTGAGGCAGCCCTGCCAAGGGGAAATGATCAAAAATCAGGCAACAGACTCCATGTCAGAGACAGCCTCCGCTCCCCTTACTAGGGTACCCACATGAAGCTTGAGCTATCAATCGGCTACATCTGTGTAGGGAGCCTAGGTCCCATCCATGCATGGGGTCAGAGAACTCTTGAAGTGTGTCTTGAGCAAAGGGCAGGAGTCCATTAGACACTAAGAGAGTGGAAAGTAAGTCTAGGCAAATGCTGTGCATGCTATCATGTACATTGAACATGTATCTCTAGGAAGCACACACGTAGAGGCATGGTACAGGATAGGTTGAGGTAGGGAAGATTGGCAGAGGCCAGTTCTAAATGATCTGGAATGCCACAGGAATTCTGGCTTTCTCCCTTAGCTTTTAAGGATTGCAGTGGAATGAGGGCAGACCAGTTAGGAAAATCATCTAAGTCTGACAGCAGTGTATAGGGCACACCAGGTATAGGATCACAGATAGGAACACAAGCCTGAAGGAGAATCTGAGTCTCTACAGTCAGTAGGGAGGATGATGGTTAGGGCAGAAGAGGTGGACTGGAGAGGGTAAAGACTTGTGCATTAAAAGAGGCCAGCCTGGTCAACAGAGTTCCAGACAGCCAGCACAGTATAGTGAGACTCTGTTCAGAAAAATCAAAATCAAAACCAACTAACCAGCCATCCAACCATCCAACCAACCCAAACAAAACAAAAGAACAAGAGTAAGTTAGGTAGCTCTGGTAAGGTGGTACACCTCTAATTCTAGCACTCAGAAGTTGAGGCAAGAGGATCAAGAGTTAAAGGGCAGTCTAGGTTACTTAATGAAACCTTGTCTCAAAAAATGAAACAAGCAATAAAATGTTAGATATCAAGAATAAATTGTGGTGTTCAGCTGATCAACATGGTCATTATAGTTAATAATAATGTATTATACATTTTAGAGTAGCTAGAAAAAAGATTCTTGATAGGAGGATGGGGGAACTCAACACAAAGAAATGATAAATGTTTGTGGTGACGGATATGCTAAGTGCTCTTACTTGATCATTATGGAATATATGCATGTATCAAAAGATAGCCCATAAACACATACAAGTATATATCAATTAAAAATAAAAGGGCTAGGATGGAGAGATGGTTTAGCTGTGAAAGGCTAGGCTCACAACCAAAAATAAGAGGGCTGGTGAGATGGCTCAGCAGTTAAGAGTGTGCTATGTTCTTGCAGAGGACACAGGTTTGGTTCTTAGCACCTGTATGAGAACACCAATCCAATGCCCTCTTCTGGATTTGGTGGGTACCCACATTTCTGAGCACATAACCTTTGCATACAGATATAGATATATGCATGTGATTAAAAATAATAAAAATAAATTTTTGTAGGGGAGGAGAGTTATATTCCCTCCAGAGTGTGGCTCTGGTAGGTTAACCGTGATCCCAAGGTCAGCCTGTACCCCTAACTGTATATATCGGCAGCTCAGATTAGACTGGGTAGGTTATTAACAAAGAAGACGTGAAGTTGAAAGGGGTAAGATGGTGAGGGGAGTTAGGTGGAGTTAGGGGCAGAGTGAGGATGAATATGATCAAAACACGTTATATGAAAGTCTCAAGAATTAATAAAAATATTATATTAAAACCTCAAAATAAAGATTAAAAAAATTGAATGAGAAATTTTACTCATAGTTTCTGGAAAAGTACTTAGTACCCAGTGAGCACTCCTAAAATGTTGGCATTGTTATTAAAGATATTAAGAGTTAAAGTATACTCATGCTTGTTGAAACTACTATCTTAAGATGAGGTCACCTAGAGAGGGGATGCAGAGCAAGAATATCAGTGTAGAAGGTGGGTATGGTGATATGCAACTGTAATCTTATTACACTGGAGGCAGAGGTAGGAGGATCACTGTAGGTTTGAGTCCAGCCTGGTCTATGTAGTAAATTCCAGTTCAGCCAAGGGTTGGAGTGAGACACTTTCTCTAATGAACAAACAAGCATAAACACCAACAAAAAAGAAAGCCAGTGTAGAGGGTAAAATAAAGCTGAAGGAGGAACCTGAGGAACAAACAAGTTAACAGTGTCACATGACCTTAAAGGGGGCAGGTATATTGGATGAGAAAGATCTGCTGGAGAGATGTGAAGACACCCAGGGGACAGTGGTACCGTAGAAGCCAAATCTCCAGAGGACAGAGTGACTAATCTCATTTAGTACTACATAGATGAACTAAATCCTTCTGGATTTGGCAAACAGAGGCCTGTGTATGTGTAGTGCTGTCAAAGGCTGCAAATATCAGTGAGATCCTGTTGTGCCTGCTGGACACACACACTGAAGCTTCCTGTGAGCTGGGCAATCTTGAGGGTGGCTTGGGAGCCAGGATTTTCTGAGTCACTTGCAATGTTCGGCTTACAATTGTGAGGCCTCAAAAATTTATTTAACTGCTCATGAAGGTATAAATTACCTTCACATGTGTCAAAGAACAGCCTTTTTGTAGGTGTCAAGTTTGACCTTACCTAAAACAGTGAGGGACACCCCTCAATAAAGGGCCAGGAGCCCTTCTTGTTGATAAAGAGTAGAAAAAGCCTGGGTAAGCCCCCTGCATGATGGTTCCAGAATATTCTGCACAATTAACTGGGTTTTGATGAGGTCTGTAGGGTATGGGACAATTGTGGAAACCATGCCAGCAAGACTCCGAGCAACAATGGAGCTCCACTGAGAATTACAGCCCAGGTCATCCATGAACAGCACAGCAAACCTTGGGAGAAAAGCAGAGAAAGCTCATGATAGGAGCCTTGGACTGTGCTAGCATACTCTATACAACTTCAACAATTTTCCAGCATTTAGAAGTACTTTACAATGTGTTGCAGTTATGGTTTCTATTGCTGTGAAGAGATACCATGACCATAGCAACTCTTTTTTAAGCGAATTATTTATTTTTATTTTATATGTCTGCTAGTGTTCTGCCTGCTTGTATGTGTATGAAAGGGTGTCAGATACCCTGGAAATGGAGTTGCAGACAGTTATGAGTTGTCATGTGCTTGCTGGGAATAGAACTCTGGACCCCTGAAAGAACAACCAGTGCTCTTAACCACTAAGCCATCTTTCCAACCCAACACAGCAACTCTTACAAAGGAAAATATTTAATTAATGCTGCCTTAGAGTTTCAGAGGTTTAGTTCATTATTGTCATGTCAGGAGACATGGCAGTATACAGGCAGACATGGTGCTGGAGAAGAAGCTGAGAGTTCTACATCATGATCTACCAGCAGCAGAAGTAACTGTGATGCTGAGTGGTCATAGCTTGAGCATGGGAGACCTTAAAACCTACCTTCACAATGACACACTTCCTCCAATAGGACCAAACCTCCTCCAACAAGGCCACACTTCCTGATAGTGCCACTCCCTATGGGCCAATCATTCAAACACATGAGTCTCTTAGAGCCATTCCTATTTAAACCAACACACCACATGAAAAATAGAGAATTATACTGGGATTACTGAGTAGTAAATTTAAATTCCACCATTATATAATGTTAGCTAGCTATAAGAGCTGTCTAGCCTCTGATCTACATCCTTCTCAAATTCTTTCCACTTTACTGTCAGCATTTTTCCACCCTTTATCTGACTAATGTGGGGGCTGTAAATGCATAGAGGCACCCAGCAATCGCTATAGTGGAATGCAATCTGATCATCCTCTTGAAATTTAAAAGGAATGGAATTTCCGGAAATGAATGAAAACAGAAATTTCACTCTCCTCCAGCACTGGGAAAGGAAGCCACAGTGTTGTACACATTTGGCATTCACTTCTGTTACTGAGCCACATCCCAAGTCCAGCATTCCAGAATTTGAGTTTGGAGCCCAATAGACCAAGACAATATCAACTTTAATGGCAGCCACTGGGTTTTTGCTAGCTGAAGAAGGCCCTACATCTGGTTTATAGGATTAGGCTATAATAACTAAGTAGCTAACCTATAACCAGTTGGCTGGTTGGGTGATCAGACTGCCACCAATCAAGTTGTTTTCTATACTTTACTTATATTTTCCTAGAAAATGCTATCTGATTGTCATGTGGTAGGTTGAACTTCTTGGAAACTCCTTGGTTCTGGGAGATATCTGATTGGAGAATTGTGTTTGGTTTGGTTTGGTTTTGCTCAATAAACTCTGCTAAATTTAGTCTAAAGAATTAGTTTCCAGGCCAGTGGTGGTACACACCTCTAATCCCAACATTTGGGAGGGAGAGGCAGGCAGATCTCTGTGACCTTGAGGCCAGCCTTGTCTCCCAATCAAGTCCAGAACAGCCAAGGCTACACAGAGAAACACTGCTTTAAAAACAAACAAAAAACAAAGAATTAGCTTCCTTTACAATGATAATTATAAGTGAAGTTGCTATCAGGTCTCCTCAGGACTGGTTGCATTGTCTTCCTCTGTGGCCTGGTAAGGCTGAGACCTGATAGACTAGGATCAGATGAAAGGAGAGGAGGACCTCCCCTATCAGTGGACTGGGGGGAGGGGCATAGGAGGAAATGAGGGAGGGAGGATGGGATTGGGAGGAGATGAGGGAGGGGGCTACAGCTAGGATACAAATTGAATGAACTGTAATTAATAAAAAAATAATAAATTAAAAAAATAAGTGAAGTTGCTGTTTCACTACTTATCATGGAAAAAAGACAAATAAAAACAGTGAAAAATATCCAGTTCTCACCTAGTGGACTGGCATCATATCAAATGATGCAGAGAATGTATAGACACTGAGACCCTCATCATTTATTTTGCAGTATCTAGTGAATTTGGAGAAACACAGGTCTTTACTCTGTAATTCCGTTTCTGGGTTCATAGCCAAGAGGAACTGTTATAACTCCACATGTGAAGACACACTACACACTACACACATTTCTTATAATAATGAAAAGCTCCAACAACTAAATGTCAGAATGTAGGGGAATAGATAAACGTTGGCATTGTCATTCAGTGGATCCTGTTATGCCAGGTTCACGGGACCCTCAGAGACCACCAGGAGATGACTCGATGCAATTGCAAGAGAGCTTTATTACGAGAGCGATCGAACTCGGGACCCAAGTCTCACTGGCGCAGCAGTAGAGAAGTGGGATCCCGACCTCTGAGTGAACAGGATTTTTAAAGGGAAAGTCTGTGAGCCGGGGGTTTCCATGGCAGCAAGCAGGGGGGCACAAGCTTTGGTGTTACAGAATTGGGTGAAGTTTAGCAGGGCGGGGTGACCTTTTCTGAGGCACACAATCACAATGGCTAAGGCATATAATCACAATGGCTATTTTTCTAAACCATATCTGAAACATTGGGGAGAATTTTCCCACCCGATTCTCAACCGATTCACATTGATTATTGCCAGGGAGTTTGTCTCTATTTTCTGTTATATTTCCTGGAGGCTGTTGCTAGGAGAGTTAACTTTGTTTTCTGCCAGGTGTACATTCTGTGATATTTCCTGGTACCTGAATTCAGTTCCCAGTCAAGACCTTTACTTCAAAATGGAGTTATATTCAGGCTATCTTAAGCTCTTCAATCCCATATGGTTAAAATGAATGAGCTTCGACAAATCATAGAAATAAGCCATGAAAGCATATTGATAAATGAATAAGACAAGCTGCAGAGTGATCTGTAGTATATGACAACCATAAACAATAAATTCCACAAGTATTGTTTAAAGTAAACTAGTACTACTTATAAGGAGTATAAAAGTAGACCTCTGGAAAACAGGAGGGACTAAGACCAAGAACAAAAATGAAGAGGACTCTACCTTCATCCAGGCTTTATGATATTTAAGAAAGATATGTGGGTGCCAGGTCTTAAGTCATGGTGTCTAGGGAGGCTATGGCAAAAGAATCACATGAGCCCCAGTAATTTGAGGCCTGTTTGTCCAAGACTCAAACTCAAAAATGAAACAAGGGGTTGAGGATTGAGTTCAGTGGTACATTACTTATTTAGCATGCTCAAGGCCCTGGGTTTGATGCCCAGCATTGGCAAAAAACAAAAACCAGCCACACACACACACACACACACACACACACACACACAGGTGCACATATGAGTGAACCCTTCAATGTTAACAAAGATATTTTTGGGATTGGTACTGTGGACCTGTAATCCCAGCATTTGGGACAGGAAAATCTTGAGTTTTAGATCAGTCTTGGCTATAGAACAAGTTCAAGGCCAGCATAGTATATAAAGAGACACTGTCTGAAAATAGTATGTGAAGCATGGATGGCAGTTTTATGAGTGTTTGACAAACTATTCTTTGTATTTCTCAGTAGGTTTATGATTTAGTTAAAATTACTTTGCTTAGACTTTTACAAATACAAACCATAAACTACCCTGTTATAAGCCTACCCCAGAAGAAATATTTAGAAGGGTACTTCTACACAGCATAGCCTTCCAGGCTACAAAAAGTTAATTCCTTAGTGATGAGGCTAGGGAAACTGGAAAAAAAATGATACTTTCTGCCATAGAATGGTACAAGGAGAAGGATACCGAGGGTTTGGAATAAAAGTAAGTGAACAGACTTGGGCTAAAATGATAGGTTTATTTTTCTTGGGGGAGAGGAAGTTGAGACAGGGTTTTTCTGTGTAGCCCGGGTTGTCCTGGAACTCACTCTGTGTAGACCAGGCTGGCAACAAACTCAGAAATTCACCTGCCTCTGCCTCCCCAGTGCTGGGATTAAAGGTGTGCACCACCACCACCACCACGACCTGGCATTTTTATCTTTTTCAAAATGAAAGCATTCCCGGTTCTTTGGCTCTCAAACTTCTGATGGAAGGGTAGGCTTCCTCTCGTTCAGGTGACAGCTGCCCTGATGAATAATGAGTGGGCATTCAGGTGAAACCATATGAGGGATTCCAGGCTAGTGCTTCTATTCCCAAGTAAAAAAAAAGAGTTCATTCATCACTTCTCCTTCAAGAGGTTCTTGGTGAGTCACAGTTGAAGATTGCTCCCAGCACTGAAGGGAAACGACACTTAGACAACTAAATCTCATATTCACCAATGGGCCCCTGGCCTCTGTGTTAATGCTGGCGTACTGCTTCTTTTTCTTGGCCAGTCAAGTTGGAAGGACGAGTGACACAGGAAGTAGAAATGATCATCTGATTGTCTGCAGCAAGCTGAAAAAACAAACAAACAAACAAACAAACAAAAAAACTATGTGGAGTTTGGAATGCAAAAAGCAGCACCATTCTTTTTCATTATTTTTATACCACTTCCCCATTCTAGAACATAAGCTAATTTGTCAATTTGTTGATCTACTATAATGTACCAGACACTGTGTTAGTTCTCAGCATAGATCACATAGGAGAGCTCAGCAGTCCTGACAAGAAAATGACTGATAGAGGCATCTAGAGGGAAATGGGCCCTTGGCTGTCTAAAGTACCTGAACTATCTTACTATATTGTTTTGTTGTATGAAGTAGTCTTAACTATCAAATACAGAAAATAAAAAAGAAGGGGTTGGAAAGATGGCTCACTGATTGAGTAACGCCTGCTCTTTCAAAAGAGCAGGGTTCAATTCCCAGCACCCACATAGCAGCTCACAACTATCTATACTGCCAATTACAAGGGATCTGACAGCTTCACACTAATGCACATGCGCGGTGTGACAGGCTCCTAGCTGCGGCTACCACCCACAGTATTTCTCCTCTCCCATCCTACCCTGCCACCATGAGACAATCACCCCTCTTGAATTTTTTTTAATCACAGCACTTCTCCCTCCCTGCATAAATATTTCCCACAACCACCCTCACATCCCGAGTCTGATTTTCAAGATCTCATTCCAGCATGCTTTTCCAGTTGGTTGAGCACCATGCTTTTACTCTTTTTTGCCTGTGCTGACATTACCTGCAATGCCTCATCTTTGCCCATCAGATTCCTGCTCATTCTCCCAATGCCAACTTCAATTTTGTTCTTCTCTGTGAAGCCTTCCTATCTTCTCATCCTCACCTGTATGTTTCTATAGCATTTTATTCACAACAGTCACATGTCACCTCAAATTTTATGCTTGTGGACTGAGGATACCAGTCTTTTTTTTTTCTTTGTTTTGTTTTATTTTTACTACTTTATAAACTAAGGCAGGGGACCATGCCTCTTTCTTTCTTGCATTGTCCCAGCTTCATGTGCATGGTGGTTACTTCTGTGTCCTAACTAATGCCAAATAAATGCAGAAAGAAAGGTGGCATGATATATTAACAGTATGAGCTTTGGAATCAGAAGGCCATGTGGTAGTACTGTCACTTACTTGAGGTGTCCCAATGTGAGCCAAGTTCTACATCAGTGAAAATGGACATAGTGCTTCCTTTCCTATGGACTGTTCTAGGCAGGAGGCAGAAGTTATAAAAGCCAAATGATGTAAATATGTAAGATGGTTAAAAGACATGTCTTTAGAATCAGGTTTTGCAAATCAGTTCCCTCTCCCTACTCCTTTGTACACATTCTATTTTATCTAAGGAAAGATGTCCCTGTCACTTGTGGAGAAGAAAGGTAAATAGGGGAAACTTAATCATTAAAACTCAAGACTGCAGGCCACAAGTTTGTGGGGAAAACATAAGAAGCCAGAAGAAGCCACAAGAGAGTGCTGGCCTGGAACACTTTAACGGTAAGGATAATTCTATTCAGAGTGTCAACTGCCAGGCAAGCTTCCAAGCTCTGGCCTTTCAAGTAACAGTGTCAAAGTAAAACCTCTTGACTCTCTCCCCAGGCTGAACTATGTGAATACAACTGAACAATTCTTAGGGCTGGGAATATAGTGGTAGAACAGCTCGCTAGCCTCCGCCAAGACCTGGGGTTTCACTTCCAGCACTAGAAACAAAGCAAAACAAGACAAAATGTAGCCTGAGCAGCTCCTGCCTGTAGACTGCTTGTCTAATGCAGAGCCAAGGCCAGCCTTTAGAGCTGGCACTGTGCTTCCTGAATGAGAAACACAGGGACCATCGCCCCAGTAGAGAAACACCCCCCCTCCCCTTCCAGAGTTGCCATCACTGGCTTTCTTTTTTAACCTTTCTTTCCAGCTCCCATGCAAAAATCCTTGAGCTCTTTTTAAGGTCACTCACATGCACCTGTCATTTGCATCTTTAGATTTCAGCAGTGGTTGATGTGGGAGAAGGTGAGAAAAGTCCACAGGCTGAGTTCAGTTAGCAGCTGGGAGTGGGGGAAATATCAGGCTGAGCCTGAACAAAAGACAGGGCCCTGCTGCGGAAAAGATGCTGCAGGGCTCATTGAATCCTAAAGGCAAGTTAGGCTGAGCTTGGAGCCGGGGATGGTAGGCAGGAATCTTTCTGAGGCAGCAGACTGGTCGCTTTTCCTGTACTGAGCACTTCTTTTTTCACATTTTACATTTGATCAAGAGGTCAAGAGCGTTCTCTTCTAAGCCAATAAAAGCACATTTCCAAATTACTGGACGTTGGGAATGGTCAGACCTCATCTCCTTGGGAACTTTTTCACTTCTTTACCCCCTGATATCATTTGCTAATTCTGCCTCCTCCCCTTGTTCCTCTCAGAAAGACTCAAGATTTCAGGAAGCTGCAGCTCAGCTCTCGGGACAGGATGTGAAAGAGCATGTGAAAAACTGCTACTGTGCTTTAAGGGCCCACACAAATGGCCCCAGGGGGAACTTCCTATCACCACCACCTCACCCCACCTCGTTTTCTGGAAGAAAAGGCGGCTGAGACCTCTGAAAATGCCCAGTGCTGGCATCAGGGTGTTGGCTCTGCCACACAAGTCCGACCTCCCCAACCCTCCCGCCGGGCTCTTACTTTGGGTAAGCTGCACCACGCTAAAGGGGAAGAGGCGCAGTCACGCCTTAACACAGAGCCCTAGTCCCCTCGGCAAGCCACAGGAGACATCCGGTCCCCCCCTCCCACACACACCCCGGGAATGGCCTCTCGCCAGGCCGAACTGAGACAGCACGGTAGCGAGCTCCAGGGGCGCGGTAAGGCTGAGGCTGACTGCCCCCGCCAGCCCCTCACACAGGAGCCGCTGGCTGCGGGTTAGCCGGCCATACCTCCTCCACGTAGCCTTTCAGACCCAGCCCTGCGCAGGTCACCTTGTGGCTGGTGCTAGGGGCTCTCGGGCCACAGGGAGAGCGCTCTGGCCAGGCCCTGCACGGGTATGGTGGACTCTTGAGAAGAACTCAGGAAGCCAGGCTCACACCTCAGGGCTAGGGTGGGATCAAAGGCGACTTTCTCAGGTATCTGAGATATGTCCGGTCAGTGTGTATTTGCAATGCAATAGGCAAGACTGAAGCTTCCATTTGTTGTTCTTTCAAGGTCTAGTGACACTTGTTTCCTAGGTATTCCCAGGTCCCTCTACTTTGCTGCTTCTCCGTCCCTTTTCCCATTCTATCTCCTCCCCACTCTGCTGAGTGTCTTCTCTTCCATCAACCTCTTTTAAATCCTGACTAATGGATGTATAAAGTGTTGAAAGGACAGATATTGAATAACCACCACAGCTGCTACCTAGCGGATACTTGCCAAACATTCAGTGGTACACACAAACCAGCTTTTAGCAGATACGGCCTCATTTGCAGAGGCTCTAGGTGTGGTAAGAATGTGGGCTTTGGAAGCTACCTGTCTTAGAATCCTTAGCCCTGCAGATGACCCGTCACAGGGGAGTAGGCAAGTCACTGGATCTCTTTGTGCCCCAGTTGCTTCACCTGTACTAGGAAGACGGTGCTTTCCATGAGTTACTGTGAGGAGTAAATGAACACTGACTGAAACAGGTCTGGATGTATGGCTTACGAGGTTATGATTAGATACTACTGTATAGAAGAGGAGACTAAGACACAGTGACACTTGCTCAAGGCTGAGTGTCCACTACAAGGCAGAATCAGGGTTCATATATAGGTCAGTTTTAGGCCTTCATCTACTAAGGGCCACACACAGGATTGCACACACATACAAGTATGACAGCAGGGTGGACATTCAGTGATTCTGTTAGGCAAGGAATAGGACAATAAAGGTAAAAAGGTGCTAACTTGGCCAGAGTCTAAGAAGGATCTTAATAAAATAACAACTTTCCAATTTTATTTGTGTTTTTAAAGTGACACAATAGCAATTACAAAGAAAGAGTCGGTTGGCAAACACCAGGTTGGTAGTTGCCTTTAGGTTTGCATCTTATTCTCCATGTTGATTATCCTGATGTTTGTTAGTATTTAGGCAGTCTGCTTCTGGGTTGCTTAGCAACCTTTGATGTCATCATGTGTCGCCAGCCTGTGAGTTTGAGACCAGCTTGTTCTACAGAGTGAGTTCCAGGACAACCAAGGCTACATAGAGAAACCCTGTCTGGAAAAACCAAAATAATAGTAATAGTAATAATAATGATGATGATGATGATGATGAGGGCAGTGATCAGGAAGACACTTGATGTTGACATCTGGCCTCCATGCATAAGTTTGTTTGACATCCCTCCCCTCTTTGCATACATATGCATAAAAATAAATGAAGGTTTTATTTTCTTTTGGCAGAACTGAATGTACGAAAATTCTGAATGCCTCTCTGCTTTGCCCATGTTAGAGTTACGATTTATAAAAGGTAAAGCAACAGGCTGAAAAGAATGCATATACAAATTTAGTGGTGAGTCTAAGTTATTAGGAGCCAGAGATAAGTCTTTTGTACCAGTTTATCCTCTGGTATCAAGGCTTCCATGAGTGGCTCATCTTCACACCAGCATGGATTTTCCCAAGGGAAATTATAATCTCTAGGGTCCCTGTTACATAGATACAATGCACAGCCGTCAAATCCAAGTAATTAGCATACCTACCACTTTAAACATTTACAATAATTTATTGTAGATTTCAAAATAACATAAAAGAGGATTTTTATATGTTCCCAACATAATGAGACAAAGAAACTGTTTCTAAAAGAGGAACAATTTTAAGTCTTGCAAACTATAGGCTAAGAAAGATGAGGTCTATTTTAACCTCTCAAGTATATATTTTTTCTATGCAGATACATGGAACATTAAAATGACTAGCAGCAAAGCACATATTCCATGCCTTCTGCTTTTTCTTGATAAGTTGCAGACAAGACGGGTTCTTATTTTCTTCCCACTCATCTGTTAAGTGCTGGGCACGGCAGGGTTTCCATGGGGAGTGCTCATTTGTATTATGGAAGCCTGGCTCTGCTCTCAGCAGCTGGGGAATTCTTATTTGTCTTGCCTTGTGAGTTGTTGTGTCTTGTGGTAAGGGCATTTTCTAGCCGTGGAAAGGGGAGGATGTAGCTTTACAGCTCTGAAAATCCGAAGATGTAGGGTTGGAAAAGGACATGAGCTGGCATTTTGGATTACGATAAGGGAACCTTCAGGTGTGGGGTCTGCCCTAAGCACTCTGTCGCTAGCAGGGTTAGGCCCTAGGGCTCTGTGGAAGCATCACTATTAGTCTTTAGATAAAAATGCCACACACACGACCAATCTTAAATCCAATGAAGTTTATTGGATGGGATTGGAGAGAAATATGGAAGGAGAGAGAGAGAGAGGGAGGGAGGGAGAAAGAGAGATGTTGGGGTGGGGCACCCAACAGAGAGGGAGGAGAGAAAGCAAGAGAAAGGAATAGCAAAAGAGAAAAAAAAAAGGAAAAAAAAGAGCAAGAGGAGGGGGGAGTGGCCGACAGGTCACTATGTACCTGGCACAGATGATGTCATAGGACACAGGTACTGGCATAGGACATTGTCAGGACCCTGAAGGTCCCTAAGGGAAAGCCAGTTGAATTGCCTGCACAACATAACAATCACCCTGGGACTGAAGCTGCTGATGCCTACCCTGTTGTACAGAGTTGGCAAAACTAAACAAACAAAAACAAACTATTTTTTTTGATACTGGGATGTTGAGCCTGTGGCCTTGTACACATTAGGCAAGTACTCCACTACCATTGAGATACACTCCCACTCAGTTCTGTTTCAAGGCAACTTGTATGGGAATTTTAAATGTACCTTCTTGGAAGGTACATCTGCTTTTTTTTTTTTTTTTTTCTTTTGCTTCCTGGTTCTTTTTGTCTTTAGCACAAATAAGATGTTCAAATGAGCCAGAGACTGAACCGCATTAAGTCTAGCAAATGCAAGACCAAGAAAGATAATGAGGTCTATTTTAACCTCAAACACATATTTTGGTATGTTTTTTTTTTCTCTGCAGTTAACATTGAGCAGTAAAATGACTACCAGCAAAGTAAGTATTTGATACCTTTTGGGTTTTCATGATAACATGGACAGGATGTGTCCATATTTTCCTGAGCCTGAATCTTGCTCATCTGCTAAGCACTGGGTATGTGATACATTTCAGTCCTTTTTTTTTTTTTAATGTCCCAGGCATGGAGTCCAGGGTCTCGCACATGCTAAGCAAACACTCTTTCAGCGAGTATTTCAATTAGAGACATATATCAACTCCCAATAACATCAGGCATTTGAATTATGATGTGTAGACTCTAACTTTACTTGCCCCCAGTTTTATTATTTACATTAATTAATTCATTTATTCACTTCACATCCCAGTCGTAGCCCCCTCCCTTCTCTTTTCTGTCCTACCCTCCCTTCCTCTTCTCTTATCTTCCCTTCCCTGTTCCTCAGAGAAGGAACCCCCCACCAACCCTCCCCAGCTCATCAAGTTGAATCAGGACTGAGTACATCGGCTTCCTCTGTGGTCTGGGGAGGCAACCCCATCATGGAGAAGTGATCAAAGAGCCAGCCACTGAGTCCAGGTCAGAGAGAGTGGCCTCTCCCCTTACTAGGGAACTCCCATGGAGACTGAGCTGTCAATCGACTACATCTGTGTAGCATTGTCCCCACTTTTTTGTACCTGTTTTTTTTTTGTTGTTGTTGTTATTGTTTGTTTTTTGTTTTTCTAAAGAAAACTTTATAACAATCTTTGAGACCTCTATAGCCTTGGGAAGTGTATAACATGTGAAATTGACTTATTATGCTAAAAGCAAATGCATAACTAAAAAGAGAGGCAGTCAGTAAAAAGTTGTAGAAGTAGCAAGATGGCCAGCTGATATCAGGCAGTAGGCAGCCTGCTGCCACCTTAGTTACTCCAACTGTCATCTTTCAGTTTCTTTTCTCACTAAAGGAATTCTTCCTGACCACATTTCCTTAGTTATACTCAATAGTATTCTCAGACGATTGCTTATATGGCTGTTTGGAGTACCATTAATTGATTCATGTTCTCCTACTTTTCCTTTCACTTTTTACTTATGTGGAATTTTATTTTATAAACTGCAAAAGTACTTTAGAGACTTTGTACTAAGACAAATAGAAATGAGGTATACCAAGGAAACTGAAGTTCTCTTATATGTGCTCCGAGGTAACCACGGTTAAGAGGTGTGCCTGTGTGAGTGTGTGCATATGTGTGTGCATGGGTGCCTGCATCTTTCCCTCCCCAACCTCTCTCTTTCTCGGTGTCTCTCCTCCTCTTTCTGTGTGCTTGTTCTTCCTTGCTTTTTCTGTGTCCAAACGTTCATTCATGTGGGACTACTTTCTTTGCTATGCCTCCTCCCTCCCTCCCTCCTTCCCTCCCTCCCTCCCTCCCTTCCTCCCTCCCTCCCTCCCTCCCTCCCTTTCTCCCTCCTTCTATCCTGCCTTTGTATCTCCCTCCCTTCTTTCCCTTTAACTAGACATAAAATCAGTACTTTGAAACGATTTTTAAAAAGCTATCTTTAAAATCAGGTTGTCTGTGAGAAGGAAACCTGTACCCTAGAGAATAAAAGAATTTGGACTCTGTCCTTTTATACTGTTTGCTTTTTCTCCTTTCCTTGTACCATGGGCATGACTTACAAAAAAACAAATTTCTCTCTATCAATTTTCCTTGAAGACAATTCTCAACCAAATTCTGAATGAAATAAAGGACAATTTTTTAGAAACACTTGTGCTAGATCATTTTATCAACTTGACACAATCTAGGATCACCTAAGAAGAAACTCCCAAGTGGAGCTGTCTAGACTAGGTTGGTCTGTGGGCATGCCTGTGAGGGATTTTTAACTGGTTTAACTGAAGTGAGAAGACAGACCTTGGGTGATGGTGACACCATTTTGT